ATTGTCATATTGACTTGAAACTTTGTGTTTCTATTTCCGTTGATAGTACAGAGGTTCTGTATTGTTGACCTGATCTGATGGTAAGGCCAGAAGGCGGATAGGTGGAACTCTTCAACGATAAATAGTAGATATTTCGAGTTTGGGCTTATTTTGTTTGGTTTGACAAGCCTAACACTTTAGAATTCTTACTTTGCTACTACTGTCTACACTAAAAAGGGAAAAATAAAAACTTTTTAACAAAAAAATAAAAACCGACTTCAAACAAAAGCACTAAAAAGTAAAAAATAACTGATTGGTAGTTTTCATTTACTATACATACCTAATCAAATATTTTCGAAGTCGGTGTGCTTTGCTTTGTATGGGCTGGCACCGATTTCAAAAATATTTGATTAGATATGTATTTAATAGGTAGGCTTTAATTACTTAGCCAAAGCACACCGACTTCGAAAATATTTGATTAGGTATGTATAGTAACTGAAAACTACCAATCAGTTATTTTTTACTTTTTAGTGCTTTTGTTTGAAGTCGGTTTTTATTTTTTTGTTAAAAAGTTTTTATCATAGTATTATGTCCTATGGTATCTTGCTATGGGGAAATGCAGCTGCTATTAATACAATTTTTGTCCTGCAGAAAAGAGCTATTCGTGCAATTTAGAGTTTAGGTCCTAGAGTGTCATTAAGAGATAAGTTATAGAAATAAAAATTTGACTGTTGCTTCTCAGTACGTGTACGACAATTTTATGTATGTCCGTAAAAATATACACGAATTTCCCAAGAAGTGTGACATGCATAACGTTAATACTAGGAGTAAACACAAACTTGTAATGCCTGTGACTCGTCTACACAGAGTCAGTAATTCTTTTTATGGACAATGTAAACGCTTGTACAACAAGATCCCAGAAAATGTTCAAAAGGCTTCTATCGCCAAATTCAAAAAAAAAATGTTAATGAACGTTTGTGTGCTAAAAGTTATTATACAATAAATGATTTTATAGAAGATGGCACACCTTGGGAATGAAATGATCGCCTCCAGGCTACTTCAACTTGATAGAAATGTTGTAAATTATAATTTTACTTTAAAAAAAGATAACTTAATATTAGTCCTGCTGAGTTTCTTTCACCAGTTCTTCTCAGGTCTGAGGCTTCTTCTTTCCGAACTGGTAGTAGACTCATGACGTTCAGTAAAAAATTGTAATAATTTAATGCTGAATCAAATATTTTGAATTTTGAATTGAAGTTGACGGAATAGGTACTGTTGAAGGTAGTTCTGCTTGGATTTGCGGTTGCGAGAAATCATCTGTGGTCGAACATTTTATTGAAGAACTTAACTGAGGTATCAGGCTTGGATGTCGGTATTTAATATGGTTGTTCATAATTGTAGTATTAGCTGTATTCCCATGCCCGACACGAGAAATTATCGTTTGGCATTGGTTACACTTGACTTTGCGGGAATCATTGTCCAATTATTCAAAAAAAAATCTATATACGAGACTTTCTTTTTGACATTATTAAATTTTAATTAAACTTTTACACTTTACGTCACTTTACGTTCGCGGGCGCCGGCTGCGACTTGAGCGCGAATGAGCGGTAAACAAAGCATCAGGGAAATCCCCCGAAACAGTGATCGGCTTGGCCGACTAGTCGGCCTCTTTACAGCCGACTAGTCGGCTAGTCGGCCTAAGTCGTAGTCGGCACATGTCTAATTTATACCTTGTCAATCAAAAAGTAAAAAATTGACAAAAATCTCAATAAGGGATGGTTGTTTGCAATTTATATCAATCATGAGGTTAAATCCATTCAAAATTTAATAATTTGCAAAGACATTTAGATAGATAGATCCGCAAAAATACTAATTAATTGTATACCTTCTTCCTTTTAAATCGGTAAAAAATAATAAGTAGGTAATGGTTGACCAACTCTAACTAGGCTAGGTTGTGATATTTTTAATAGAGATGATATTATATTGTGTTACAGAGTTATTTAATTTTAAAATATTGCACTACGGGTACCTATCTGGATACAAAAGCCCTAACGACAGGTTTGACTCGGTTTGTAGTGACCCTACTTGCTGTGATGTCGGTCGTGAGTTCGAATCCCGCTGGGGGCATTTATTTGTGTGTTGAGCGTAAATGTTTGTACTCCAGTCATGGGTGTTTATATTTATAATATGTATGTATTTAAAGTTACATATGTGTAGTGTATCAACCATCCGGTATCCATAACACAAGCCTCGTAGCTTACCATGGAACTAGATAGTGCGGTGTGTTAATGTCCCAACATATTGATTTATTTATAATGAGAAGATTGAGGCGAAAAGTACGTTTTACTTTGCTGGCACCATAGCCTTCTCCTTCTTCCTTGATTCGAATCAGACCTTCCAAGGACCTTGATACATTATAGAACTACGGGTAGTAAAGGCTTAAGGATAACTTATATGGAACCAACTGGTAACTTCATGGCGAAAATAAATTCTGTCCTTTTTTACCCGACTGCGGCAGAAGGAGGATTATGTTTTTCGAGTGTATGTACAATGTACATTTATGTATGTATATTTATTTGGTACGCTCTATAGCCTAAACGGCTTCACAGATATTGGCTTGAGAGATGTCGTTAGATTCGTCTTAACTGTGAGAGTATAGTAGAGAGTGTATTATAGAAATTAGCATGGCCGATTTTGACGCCATATTAAGTAGATGTCTTGAAAAATTTTTTCCTCAAAATCTATCGAGTGGGTTATCAAAATAAAGTGATTTGTAAGTGGCTTACAAAAATATAACAACTTATATGTTAAAATGTAATTTGGAGTGAGAAATGCTAAAAACAACATTTTTTTTCTGAACAGTCCACAAAATCTATACTTACCCAATATTGTTGTCAATTTTAATAGTTACTGCCTAAAATATTTTAGTATTAAATATAGTCGGTTAAGTTTTAAAAGAAACAACCAATTGAAGATCAAGTTCATGATAACATTGATAAAGGACAGGATTGCAGGTTTGTTATCAATAAATAAGTATGATATAGAAGTAAATATTCTAAGGAAATGCAATTAGATGACGCATTATTATTTTATTAGGCCAATGCATTGTTATCAAATCAATAAGTTTGATAAAAGTCTTATATCATATAGGAAGCTAACGTCTCACAACTTTACATTCTGGCTTTGCTTAGGTGCAAAGTAATGTACATACATCTGTACGTATGTACATTCATATATGTATAATTTGGTGACTTGTCGTTGGAAATATTAACTAGGTCTTTTACTTCTGAAAATACTCGTAGGACCAACAACACAATACAATAATAATTTAATACTATCGAGCTAATCTGATAGTGTAACCAGATGCTGGACAGTGGAAGTATCAAGTACTCTAAAAAGCCCTTCGAATTTGGGCTCATATGATTGGTTTTAACGACCTCATACAGTATACAGGCAGTGGTTTTGTAGCATTTAAGAAATAAAAATTTATTTTATTTCTTAATGTAAACAATTTTCAATAGAATACTAGTATATACATAATTTCATATAATTCAAATCCATACAAATATTATAATCCATACTAAAATTATACCTAAATGTGAAAGTGTGTTTGTTTGTTTGTCTTTCTATCATGTCGAAAGAGAGTGACGGATTGATGTGATTTTTTGTGTGGAGATAGTTGGAAGGCTGGAGAGTGACACAGGCTACTGACTGTGTGTGACTTTTTACCGCGGGAGATATTCTCATTCCCACAAACCAAAAATTATTTATGATCAAAATTACTTGAAACTTGGTATTAATGCTCTTCAATACAATTAAATAAATACTCTTAGACTAAACTTTACCGGTTATTCTATATATAACATGTCTTCTCCATTTTACGCGACATTGACGAAGTAAATTGTGCCCAAATGGCACTCCTAGAAGCGACACGAAACTAAACAATTGAATTGAAAGCAAGACTAGATCATACAATTCAAGCATTCACGTGTCTAAGGAACATTCGTATAGGTATCTATTAGAGTACAGTTAATAATTTTTAATGTTAATAACTTAAATTTACAACTTAATTTTTTTTAATTGCTCACGTAATTTTCTATTGTTATTCGATAACTAACTGGTTTAGTTAAGTGTTATTTAATATTAAAAACACTTAATGTATAAGAAAATTGGAAAAAGAAAGTATGGTAGAAGATAACCGTTGTATTAAGTTATATTAACGTAGTGCAATGACCCATACCAGATGAATAGGCATCATACAACTCATGTTGCGGCATTGAATTTCAATAAGAAATAAGCGTGTTTTTTTTTAATTTTTTATACAATTGCAAAAATTTAGTATATATTATATATGTACATATATTAAATATTTGGTTTCAACTACGAGTACTTTGAATGTCTCACCTATATTTGCACTTCTTAATAATTATTTTCGTAATCAAAAAGAAATTACATTAAAAATATTGATATAAGCTTATTTCAAAAGCAGTAAAGATATTAAAAAAAATCATCTTTATTCAAATCACACTAACCTATTCCCACACTGTAATAAATGTTCAGGTAATGAACTGGGAGATTCACAGAATTTAGCTAGTTTGAATGAAATTGTGGGAGTAAGATAGAAGAAAAATGTGAAAAAAAATCTTTCTGAGCTTTGGGTACGTAGAAAGAATGAATGATGGAAGAATGACCAAGAGAAATGCTCTGGAAGAGTGAATGGAAGGCGTAATAGGGGAACCCCGGAGGATTTTTGAATACCAGTAGTGGAAGTGTTCTTAATACTTAAAGAAGGTCAAATCAATAGGTCTGAGGACCTCCAATTATGATTTATGGAAAAAACCAAAGAGGTTGAAGTAATCATAGTGCTTGGCACTCAGTTTTTTCTGCTTACCTCGCGAGGGATTTAGCGTGAAGTTATGTATGTATATATATGTATGTATGTGTGTAAATACTCTGGGTCTCTAAGGAAAAATCTTGAGCGAAAATAGAGATGTATTTAATTAATTTTTTTGTTGTTACAGAGGTGGAACACATTCAAACCTCGTAATATGCGACGAAGAAGGTCAAGTAGTTGGTAAGGCACGTGGCCCTGGAACGAACCACTGGGCGCTGGGTATAGACGAGTGTGCTAAGCGAGTAATAGACATGCTCCATCTCGCCAAGAAAGACGCTGGGATACCTGTAGACCAGCCTTTAAATTCCTTGGTGAGTGCGCTTTGAAGTAAATGTTTATCCTGCTATATACATACATTATACTTCTGTTATAAAAAGTGAGTATGTTTGTTACTCTGTTACATTCAAACGGCTGGACGATGTTTTTTTTCTTTCTAACGTTTCTTATAAAAACTTACTCTTCCGCTTCAAAGTTAGTTGGAAGAGATCGCTTCTAAGTTCTAACGATTAGACTGCGTGCTGTACAATGTACATCTTCTCTTTGTGTTTGTGTTTTTGTTGTTGATCTACAGTGTATTATTATCTATCTATACATATAATGAAATTGTAACTATGTCGAATTGTACCTAAAATATTTTTTTGCAAAATCTTATTGAAATACACATTATTATCGATACAAAAGACGAATCTATAGTTTTTACAATTTATGTCTGTCAAATCCTTAACCTCCTGTGTTTGAAGTTGGTTAAAAATTGTGTGGTGCTATCTGTACACAAAATGCTTATACAAAATTATATCATGTAATGAAAATAAAAGTATTAAAAACAAGGTCACTCAACTTTGTAAGAGTAACGCGTGCTAACTCTTTAATAGGGCAATACAACTGTTCACCGTTTGCACATGTCATTAAAAATTTATTGATTGTGTACAATTTAAATAATAATAGTATCTTACTTTACTCATAATAAAATTACTTTATAACTATACCTACAGTAGGTATTCTAGTATACACACATAAGATTAGATTTTTTTCTTCAAGTTCATTAATATTATAAATACGATAGTTTGGATGGATGGACGTTTTTCACTCAAATACAACCGAATTGAGAACCTCCTCCTTTTTTTAAAGTTGGTTGAAAAAAGGAGAAGTACGTAGTTTGTCACGCTTAGAACATTAGTAGGGGTATTTCGTTTAATATCTACAATTGAAGTGACCTTGATAGGACGTTTACATTTAAATAACATCGAGTTGATCTGAGTTGATCTTTCACTTGGTCTTTCGTTTGAACCACACAATTTATTATTTTGATTATTTATATAGCTAATTTAAATACGTAATTTAATGCGCAACCATGTCGAGATTGTGTCCAATATAAAAGTATAAGTATGTATAACATTTTAGAAATATAAAATTAAAAAAATATTTTCGAAACTTCATCTAATTTTCTTCATCCATAATCCATACATACACCAATATTTATTACTCTTTTTCGTTATGTGGATAGATGTTTTATGAGATATTATAATAAATTCAATCAAAATTTGCTTAGCCGCAGACTTGTTGGGTAAAATTGGCTAAATTAGGCAGAATGGTGAAGATATTTAACTTAAAAAAAACCTGAGTTGAGTCTGAGCCTTGAGTTTTATTAGATTTGTTATTGAAATGCATCCGAAACAAATAGTAAAATTACAATAGAAGATGTGCAAATCTTATCAATTCATAATTATTTATTGATTATTTAGTTATTGTTTAGGAGAAAGTAAAATATCTTTATTTAAAGTGTGACGGCTTTTTTAATAAGTTCGATGCCGCTTTAAGTACTTTTCATTTATTATTTTTTTCTATAGAAAATAATCTCTGTGCTTGCACTCTGGTCGTACCAGACTACAGTCTCATAGGACAGTTTGTAGTGACCCTACTTGCTGTGCCAGCGGTATCGGGTTCCAGTTCCGCGGGGGGCATTCATTTGTGTGATGAGCACGAACGTTTGTACTCCAGTCGTGGGTTTTTATATTTATAATATGTATGTATTTAAAGTTTTATAGGTACGTGTATTGTGTATCAACGTATCATATATCAAGTGTATCAAGTATCTGGTATCCATAACACAAGCCTCGTAGTTTACCATGGAACTAGATGGCGCTGACTGTTAATGTCCCAATATATTTATTTATTTTATTTATTTATTAATTAAAAACTATTCGCTAGAAACAATTTCAAGAAAAATTAAAAACTTGTTTTCAGGGTCTCACATTGTCGGGGTGCGAGCAAGAAAGCAGTAATGCGGACTTAGCTGCCAAAGTAAAGGAGATTGATGGGAAATCGGCAAATGAAGTATACGTGGCCTCAGATACTGTGGGATCTTTGTTCACTGGTGCTCCTGGTGGTGGCATGGTGCTTATCGCTGGTAAGACACAGTATATCCCAACCCATTTGTCGTTCTCCTCATTATCCCTAACAGTGAAACTCAATAACATATCTATCTATATATATATATATATAGAATTAATTAGCTTTAAATGTCAAATAATCAAATCAATACGTTAATTAACTATACAAAATGTACATAGATATAATACTTTCTTAGATTTACGCGAATATTTGGCATTTTAAATAAAACTTTCTTTTTTTGGATCTTTTCGCCGATTTATATTGATTTTTGGTTCCCGACGTTTTGAATGCTTTACAACAATCATGGTCAACGTCGGGAACCAAAATTCAAAATAAATCCGCTAAAAATCCGAAATATGTTTTCGGTTTTATTTAAAATGTATATACTAATATACATACATTGCTAAAATTCTATTAAATACGCTCGCGAGAAGCGAGCAATTGGTAGAAGCAGGAAAGAGGTATTTAGAGATCACATCGTATGCCACTCTGTTCTCTCCGCTTTACGAAGAGACTAACGACTCACCCTCGCTTCGCTCGGGTTCGTTCCTAGGTTGCTTCCCCATACCAATGTCATCCCTATTTTCACCTCCAGGGATGATTTCCGAAATAAAAACTATCCTATGTCCTTCCCAGGTTCTCAAACTATCTTCTGACCAAATTTTATCTAAATCGGTTCAGTACTTTCGGAGCTTATTCGGTACCCACAAACAAATAAACAAACGAAAAATCTTTCCCCTTTTTTTAATATTATGAGTATATTAATACAGATATATCATAAAATGTATGTATGTTTATATAAGTTCTTTTTTATTTATATAAGTCACAATACAGGGGCGTCCTTATTTAAATTAGGCCATAAGATAACCTAGCGATAGCCTTGTACTAAACTCAATGTTTACGGTCGGTGATGTCAGGGATGCTGGTTTATTTTGTTAGGAAATTAGTAAACACTAGTTTGATCACGTGGTTTTGCTCGTGTGTGTTTTAAAGTAATATTTGCTTATTGAATTGTGAAATTAGGTTTTAATGTTGGATACCTAATGAAAACCTAGAACAGACGGAGTAAGTTTATTTGAATTCTTTGAGTATGGGACTCTAACAAACTAACAGATTTATAGGGGCTTGTTTAAAATACAGTCGGGTTACATCTTTGTATGTAACTAAAATAACTAATACTAGCGACTCACTCTCGCTTCGCTCTGGTTTGTCCATAGCTTGCTTCCCAAAACAAACATTCAACCTCATTTTCACCCCTTTAAGGGATGATTTTCGGGATAAAAATTCTATATTCTTCCCAGGGTCTCAAACTATCTTTATACCAAATTTCATCTAAATCGGTTCAGTAAATCCAGAGATTACCCCCTCACAACTTCACCTCTTTATAATATTAGTATAGATGAAGGAATATTTAATTTTCTTTACAGAAGGCTTATACATTAATGTATATTAGTATTTATAATACTTTCCTAGATTTTTAGATCTTTTCGGATTATTTCGTGGATTTACTTTGAATTTTTGGTTCCCGACGTTTCGAATGGTTTACAGCAATCATGGTCACGGAAGAGACTAAGGTTTTAGCCGTCTCTAATGCGTGTTATTAGTACTTTTGTTTACAAAAGGCAAAAAGTAGTTCCTAAATGATATGTGATTACTAATGGAACACAATTAAGGCAAAAATTAATGCAGAGTTTTATGACATAAACAGAAAGCTACTTATTTACATTGTTTTAAAAAGTATCTAATGATTCATATAGCTACGATATGTATAGTGTATGGTTAAGATAAATAGGTGTAACAATAGGTACTTAGTATTTTCCTCAAGCAATGCTAAAAACATACACGTGCTTAGAATTGCAGCTCTAAATCATTCTCTATCTCTCGCTCGCTCTCTTATATGTCAAAAGTGTACACTTCAAAAATATCTAAATACATTTTGATAATTTTTCCTTTAGTTAAAATTATTTTTAAGTACTAGAGACTCACGCGAATAGGTACATACGTTTAAACGGTTAGTATGGAATAGAAAAACTTTGTAAAAAACGAAAACAAATCTATCCCACGGGATTCGGGAACCGTACATTTTTCCGGAACAAAAAGTAAACTTTGGGATATTCCAGACTACAATTTGTCTCTGTGCCAAATTTAATCCAGATCCATTCAGCAGTTTTGGCATGATTGAGCGACAAACATCCATCCATCCAAACTTTCGCATTTATAATATTAATGGGATTATTAATATATTATTGTTTATAGTATTTTTTTAATAAATTTAAATCAAACAGGCGTACCAAACTAAACCATAACGATTAACATCAACCTAGATGTACTAGGTAGGCTAATAGATAAGTTATTATATTACTTTCTTATGCCAGTATTATGATAAAGAAAACACATTTTATGTATGACTAGCATTGCCTGCGGCTCCGCCCGCGTTCAGATGACCAAAAACCAAATTCTTAGGTTTTACATATTAGTATACTCTTACATTGCAGTTTTTGTATTTTTTCTTAGAAATGAGACATTTTCCCGCGGTAAAAAGTATCCTATATGTTGATCCGGATAACCAGCTATCACCATACCAAATTTCATCAAAATCCCTTCAGTGGTTTTTCTGTGATGCGGTAACAGACAGACAGAAAAAAATTCGAAATATAGATTCGAAAATATAGATTCGGCCTCTGTATCGATAATAACGTTTATTTCAATAAGATTTTCCAAAAAGTATTTAATGTACAGATTCGGCTTAGTTACAATTTTATTATATGTATAGATTTTGACCCTCTTTTATTAAATATAAATATTTAACACAGTTTTTTGTAGTATCTGAGTATATATCTAATAATTTAGTTATAGATTTTTAATTTTTGTTTCTTTCCGGTTTTCTTGTCATTGAATTTTAATTTCGATGCGCTTGCGCATAATTAAAAAGATGTCGACCTCATTATTAAGCCAGTTTGTGATGCCTTATATAACACCGGCTAGTAATATTTCTTTTTATTTCTGGTATTATATATATCTATACTAATGTAATAAAGAGGTAAAGTTTGTGAGAATGTGAGTTCGTGTTATAATGATAAGCGGTAATCTCTGGATCTACTGAACCGATTTAGATCAAATTTAATGAAGAACATGAATGAATGAAAATGGTGATGAAAGTTTGTATGGGGAATCAAACTAGGCAAGCAAGGGACGAACCCGAACGAAGCAAGGGTGAGTCGCTAGTATAAGTATATATTCTTTAGCATAAAATTTTGATACATCAAAAAAAATTAAATTTACAACAAGTACATATTTTAATAGAACTACATATATCCTGATATTGATATTTAGATAACTTCCTTAAAAAAAATTGCAACAGACTAATATCTTTCACTGAATGTCATACTCGGATCTCTTAACTATATTGACCTGCTCGGCAAAATGAACCCAAATTCGAGGGTTTCACTAGTAGTCATGGAAGAGTTTCACTAATCCAACTCTTATCTCCATCATCAGATCAGGTCGATGGTATCACATCATTGTATTGGCATCCAAATACTTTCTAAGATGATGCTAATATAACTGATTTATTTAAAATGTCAAATATTCGCGTAAATCTAAGAAAGTATTATGATGCTAATATTTGGAATTTTAAGTAAAACTATTTTTTCGAGAGACTGGTGTTTGACCATATTTGCTGTAAAGAAATAAAAATCAAGTAATTTTTAAATCTCAAAAGGTAAATTTCGACTTCCAAGATTTAATAGCGCTATTCATATATTATTTTAGGTACAGGATCGAACGCCCTACTAAGGACACCTGATGGTAAGCAATATGGCTGTGGAGGATGGGGATACCTTTTAGGGGATGAAGGGGGTGGTGAGTAGTATTTTCATGTTTTTTAGCAAAATCTTTTTTTTTTATAATAACAAAATATCTATGAAATCGTTGTTCCATTTTCTATCTAGGGAACATTTTCGGTCGTGTTAAAAAAGGACCACTGTATTTTTATATATATGTTATGCGATATCTTCTCCAATCGAACGTAGTTATGCAAAATAAATTCAACCACAAAAGCTTACTTGTGAGAAAGAAAAACTTGAAGAAAGAGAACTACTTGTAAGAAGTAAGATTGGTATATCAAATTAACAAAACCGTAGTTTTTTTTTGAAATTCCTCTTAAATATTGGGTATTTTATCTACTTTCTGTATATAGGTTGATATGTAGGTGCCATTTATGACAGTAACTCAAAAACGGTTTTCGTGGCTTGGATCCATTTTGCGTAACTACGTCCTATTGTAAATATATTTTCATATATTTTTTAATGATAATATGGTAACCTAAAACATCATGGACAGACAGACATTTTTACACTTGCAATCATAGGAAGAATTCATTTAAAATCTATAGTAACTTCTACTTTTATTACACTTTTTAGCCTACTGGATAGCTTTTAGAGCAGTCAAAACTATATTTGATGATGAAGATGGTCTCCACACTTCTCCCCACCCCACGGACAAAGTGTGGGAAGTGATAAGTGAACACTTCAAAGCGACCACCCGAGCTGATCTCCTCCCACACGCGTATAAACACTTCGACAAATCACACTTTGCTGGTAAGTGTTTTCAAGTGTTATTTATAGCTTTGGTTAATACAAGAAAATAAAGATCCTTTGGGTTTTTTTTTGAAATTCTAATATTATTATATTATCTATACATATAATAAAATTCTAGCTGCGTCTAATTTGTACATTATATAATTTTTGGAATATCTTATTGAAATAGTCATGAAATGTCTGTCTGTCTGGAAACCCATCACGAGAACAGATTTTGATGAAATTTGGTATGATAATAGCTGGTTATCCGGGTCAACATATAGGATACTTTTTACTTCGGGAAAATATATCATCTCTGAGAAATCTATACTAAACTTTAAATCGTAACTAGTACTTTAGCAATAAATAATAATATATATTCTTTATTGCACAAATAAGTTATAAGAAAACAAAATATATAGAAAGTGACGTGGACAAAGGTGGACTTATCGCTATATGAGATCTCCCCCAGTCACCCCACGCATTTGGGAAATAGTGTTGAATAGCGGGACAGAATTAGAAACTGCAGAAAAAAAATTGCAAAGTATATAAGTATAACACATAAATAAAACTTATATTTGCTTATAGGTTTAACAGCGAAGCTTTCAAAACTAGCTCTCTCCGGAGATACACTCTCACAGCATCTGTTCGCTGAAGCGGGAGCGTCTCTCGCTGCGCATATATCTGCGTTGTGCGAGAGGAGTGGTGTGGGCGGGAGCTTGCGGGTGGTGTGCGTGGGCTCGGTGTGGAACAGCTGGGAGGTCATGAAGCCTGGCGTGCTCAGTCAGCTGGGTGCTAGACGGGTATGTTGGTATTTGTGGAGTAAAAACTTCTTTAGCTCCGTCCTGATTTGAAAGATGAAACGAAAAAGCAATATTAGAAAGAGACAAATAGACATTTGACGACACGTTTGTTTGGCCCAATTTGTAGTGATCCTACGTGCTGTGCCAGCGCTCGCGGGTTCGAGTCCCGATGGGGGCATTCATTTGTGTGATGAACACAAATGTTTGTCCTCCAGTCATGGGTGTTTATATTTATAATATGTATCTATTTAAAATTATATATGTGTAGTGTATCAAGTATCTGGTATCCATAACACAAGCTTACCATGGAACTAGGTGGTGCTGTGTGTTAATGTCCCAACATATAAAAGACACATCTATAGGATTTAACGTGCGAGATAATGAGATTGAATACACCTGTAGGCACACACAAATATACACACACGTTCTTTAACATTTTTAATTAAGACCTTTTTATTAACCTTTTTATAAATTATGTTTTTGACAGTATTTATAAAAAGAAGAATGAGTAACATTAAAATGCGTACAATTATATGCATGATTTGTATTTTTGTTTTAAATCATATAGATTTAAATAATCTAATATTGCTGCAACGGTCATACGTTATACAGTGTTTCTTATATTCGCGGTCTCCTCTTTCTGCAGTACTTCGTAGCCTCCCCACCCTTGTATGTAATATATATGATTAAAATGTGAAATAATTTTTAAACTTGGTATCAATGTTATCATAAATAAACCCTATAATTAATTATCCTACTCCTGAAATTCTGCATTCGCCTCATGATTTTGTTTATTTTTATTATTATTACGTTTAAAGAAATTTCTGCTTGGTCTTATTTTCTCGTTGCGGCTGATCACTGTTTCGACTGATTGATCAATGGGGTTTTTTTTGGTACGCTTACAGGACATCCATGCCTGGTCTGCTGAGGTCAGCGACAGAATTATTATTATTACTAAAACCCTACCATTAACTGTCTCTAAAAAAAAACTTGTCTAAAAAAGAACAAACAAACACACATTACCTTTTATAGTATTACCAAGAATATCATCAAATCTAGTTTTTATTTCTTTCAGGTAAACGTTAATCTAGAATTAGTCCGACTAAGAGTTTCTAGTGCAATGGGCGCAGCCTGGCTAGCCGCTGAGCACGTTAACTACAATTTACCAAGAGATGATTCTGCATTTTGCGAAGTCTTCTATAGATATAAACCTGATATTAATGGTAAGGTAAATGGTACGCATAATGGTAATAATGGTAAAATTGAAAACGGTGTTATTGGTTGTGGCTGTAGTCAATGGTATTGGAGCTAATATATATATATATTATACGTTATTTAAGAGGTTTTACCAATTGGTTTGAAAACGGTAAAATTTGACGAATAATAAATAGTTTCTATATTGTTAGCAACAACTGTATTATAACAAGTACCCTATAAATAATTTGCCAAATAATTATAATATATAAATATATAAACATATTATATATAATATTGAAATTAAAAATGTAGATAAATATATATGTAGATTTTACCAATCTACTTTACGCTGTAATAAGCTTTACGCTTTGTTTAATTTTTTTACCATTTAAGCCAAGTGTAAATATTGAAACAAAAATATATAACTAAAAAACTAACACTTTGATTAAAAACTAACAAATCAATATATAATTTGAAAAAAAATTTTTTTGTTTTGTTATAGATTCAATAGTGGTAAAAAAGGTGTTGGCAAAGTTTTGAAATTACATTATATTTTAATGTATGCGAAAACAAAAAAAAAATATTAGTAAATAGTAAATGTTCATTAAAACAACATAAGCGTATCATTATAATATATAATATGTATTCATATAATATAATGCAGAATTTATATGTATAGGTACTCAAAGCAAAAGTGACGCAACAAGTTTTTACTTATTCTTTTTTTTTATTTAATAATGTATATTAAAAGAATGGGTTTAGGCCACTTTTGCATTGATAACCTTCTTAATTATATGATATAAAATGTATTTTTCAATTTTAAAAATATATAAATATCAATGTACCTACTACTTAGTTAATGGTAAGCCAAACTAATATGTTTAAGATTAGGATAATTTGTGTGTATTTGAATGAGTTAAAATGACGATAAATAATTCACAACAAAGAAAAAACAATACGATTTTTATTCTTAACCATCTAGTCATGAAAGAATGAATGATCTGATATAATATTCGATCTGTATGGTAAATTATAATAAAACCTGCATATTACAAGAGGCTTCCGTAACCAAGACATATTGTTTAAATTATTTGTTGAAGGTTCATATGTTCTTTATTTTCTTTTAAATTAAATCTTATGATTTTTTTTTTTAAATTTTACATTATTTTATGGCTTTTCTATTAGGTTATTTACTTTTTTTGATAGAAACTTATGTATATAATTAATGCATATATCAATATTTGGATTTTAAAAGGTATTTTTCTTTTATATTGGCTGTATTTTATTTTATAATTTATATAGTCATTGAGAAACAGACAAGTGATAGCAACGCAACTATACATCTGTTGTTTATAAATCTGACATTTAATTAAAAAATAAAAAGGTTTCAAAATTGCTTGTAAAAGTTAGTAAAGGAATTAAAATGAATTTTGATCTGATTGAAAATAACAAATAGGATGAGCGAAATAAAGCGATGGACACTTGTCTCTTTCTTTTGTTCCTCCACTCAATTGATAGACTAATATACATCCATCAAAAAAGTACTAGATACACAATTCAATGCAAAAGTTTTCTTAAAACTGTCACCAATTGTGTTTAGGTAATTATTGTTCTAGTTAAATATACAACAATGTAAATTGAACTTTAAAGTTGTTTTCACAAAAAAAAATTTAAAAGTGCGCTCAAATGTTCAAATGAGCGCTCATTCGGTGAGGACATTTTTTGTCGCTGATTGTGTATCTAGTACTTTTTTAATCGATGCTAATGTGTCAAATAATTGTCTGGTCCTTGAATGGCATATTTATCTATAAATGGGTAAAGGGATATAGATGAAAGACACTATGCATTAAATTAGGTATGTTTTGATTGATTTCCTAAAATGAGTATTTAAACAATAGACTGTGGACTGAGTGTTTCTTTGCCAGCCGTCAGCTGAAAATGGCGGAAAGGTGCGACAGAGACAAAAATAATGTGTGGCCAGAAGAAGTCTTCTGTATTCATTGAAATACGATTTATTAAGATAGAAATTTATAACCATTTTATATTCCATCATAGTATTATAATTTTCAATAAATTATAATATTATATTTTTTACATCCCATTTATAAATTCTACTTGAAATAAAAAATGAAATAGTAGTCAATTTCATGAGAGTATTGCTCAGTCCATTCTCTGCGTCTTTGAGTTAAACCTATAAGCTCTCAAGCTAGTGAGAGGTTTTTCTATAATGAAGTAGACTTTTTTTTGCTAAGCACATGCACATAGATGTAGTTCCTAATGTGGCTTAAAACATATCCATATTGTCATTAAATGTTATGCTTTATTATGTAATGTACATCTTGACCATATCATTATATTTTTTGGATATTTTACAATGTATTCCAGTATACAAAATTAAAACATCATTATCTATTGATAAGCCCATTTTATTTCTGATTTGATTTATCATAATTTGTGAAAATATTATTGTAATAGATATATTTCACAACAGTTCACGTACATTTATTTCGCTTACCTATTTATACTTAGTGGGTCATAAATACATTTAAAAAAATCTTTTAAAATGTTTTACATAATTTAAAAGTTAATCCTTTATAGTTCAAACTTGATTTTAAAATACAGCGTAAAGATGTGCAGAGTAGTCCTAAATTCAGCAAAATGCTTACGAATCGATAAGTCTAGATCACGTTCCAAGAAAGGTAGCATGCAAAGAATTATTAGCAGAATACTTGAATCTTTGTATTAGTGCTCTTTTTATATACCTATGATTAAATAAATGTTTTAGATTTTTTTGAAATTCAATTGAAATTCAATCCCTTAAGGGGATAAAATGGAAGATGAAAGTTTGTATGAAACTGTAATTAATTTGTAAAAAAATAAAAAATAAAATATTCACCTATAGACGATTTAAGAATTTTCAAATCACTATCTGTAAAATGATGTCCTTAAATATAAAGATTGTGATTTCGTCAATTTTGGTCGTCTTATTACTTTAACCCACTATTTCTTTAGTTTTTCTCTTTTGGGAACAAATGATATCCATATTCTTTGCATCCTGGCACTGCACAAGTTGTCATTTTAATTAAATTTTAAATAAAATGAAAAAGAATCCATCCACGCTATAGAGCTTTACATTATACTTAGGGCTATAGAGATCGCGAAATCTGGTGGGAGAAAAAGACAAAAATCTTCCCCATTGGAAAGCACCATTATACTATGGATCATAATGATTACGACGTCTGGCGGTAGAAAAAGTCCCCATTTATTATTAGTTTTGACAGTCAAGAGTGCTAATGTCATTTCATTTTTGTTGTCAAGTTGTCACTGTCTGTTTTTGTCAGTTGTCACTTGTTTATTTATCATATATTATGTAGCAATATACTCTATGGTCACTTGTAAAAAAATGTCAGTTGTGCGAAGCGTGTCACGATTTTTTAATATAAAACAAATAAATAATATCAATTACCGCTTTTTATCTCGAAGTTATATTACATATAAAGAACATACACGTGATAATTTTAACAATAAATATTTTTATGGTAGTATTTTGGTGGCTAGTAGTGTCATAGGTTATGTTACTTGTAAAGAAAGAGTAAAAGCAGCTTCTGTGACAAATCTTACTGGTAGAAGGAGTCAATATAATTTTATAGCAGATGTGGTAACTGTTTCCGCGCCATCAGTTGTGTATATAGAAATACAGGATGGAAGAAGATTGGATTTATATACAGGCGAACCCATTACTATATCTAATGGATCAGGGTTTATAGTGAAGGAAGATGGGTTGATTTTAACGAACGCTCATGTTGTAGTGAATAAGCCAAATGCCATAGTAACTGTACGCCTTATGGTATGTATGTAATTGCTTTATAATGTTATGACATTGTTACATCATGCTAGGGTGGAGTTTTATAATTGATATTTACTTCATACTAAAAATTAATACAGAACTCTGAAAAACTAAATTATATTGGATATAGATTAGATCTACAAGTTTTAAGTCATTTTTTCAATTTTGAACAGTATGTCTCTACCTTTATAACAAAGTGATATAATTCATTGATATGTATTATGTACTATTAATTATTATTAGATGAAGCTATAAAGTATTCAGTAAGAGCTTGGCTACATATTTTTTTATCTTAGTGACTCGCCCTCGCTTCGCTTCAGGTTAGTCCCAAATACAAATCTATACCTCGGGAATCATATGTTTATCAGGAATAAAAAGTAACGTCTATGCTATTCCAGCCTAATCTCATCTAGATCCGTTTCAGACGTTCTGACGTAAAAGTAACAAACATCCATCCATTCATTCATCCTCATAAACTTTCACATTTATAATATTAGTAGGATAAGTAAAAGATTTTTTTGACTTTTTGGTGATGATGTTCTCCTAGCCGATTCCGGCTACGGCGGCCAATCTCATTGAGACTAGCCAACTGCACAGGAGATATTATAGTGCACAAGTGTATGGGCACGCAGACACAACATGCACTCTCTATTCCTGTCACTCTCATACTCCGGTGGGACGACTGCTCGACACGACCAGTGAGAGTTAAGGCGCAGGACCGACGGCTTTACGTGCTTTTTGATAATACATATATGAATATATTTAACAATTATAATATATTTTCTAATATTTCAGGACGGCTCCACTCATACAGGTCTTGTTGAAGATGTAGATATGAGATCAGATTTGGCAACACTTAGAATACCTGTGAAAAACCTACCAACAATGAAATTAGGGTCTTCATCAGATATAAAGCCTGGCGAGTGGGTTTGTAATTTTTAATATAGGTATCTAAGTATTTATAATGAATGTTAAAGTAATGAATGTATCTTGTAAGTAAGTTACACAGACACTGCACAGCCTAAACCACTATCTATCACAAGGTCTTAATATCATTATTTATTTGCATAAGTTTATTTTAATACATTCTATAACATTGCTAAGCACTAAAAAAATGAGCAACCTTTATGCGCAGTTGAAATAAATTAAATTGAAACAAATATAAATATTATAATATTTATAAAATTATGAACAATAAATTTAAATCTCACTTCTGCGACACTCATTTGTCCATTGTTTTGACCCTCAGTCACACCTAAAGCAGTTTTACTTTAAAAAGGGATTTTAAAGGGTAAATTAGAAAGAAAGTAATTTATTTCATTCATATTGCCTTTGTAAATTTTTATTGTTCTCTTTGCTTGTAACAAATATAAGATAGAAATAGTGGAATTACGATAAAAGCTAAAACATTTTAGAACATTGATATAACATATTAATCATATTTGAAAGATTGCACTTCATTGTATGAATTTATGACATATTGTTTATGAAGTATTAACATTAGTTTTGCAATAGAGCATCTTTAGCATACTTCCATTTAAATTTTAGTGGAAATTCTAATCCAAAAGTTTATATTTTTCTAATATTTTAAATATTTTTTTTCTAGGTGGTAGCAATGGGCAGTCCTTTGGCTTTAAGTAATACTGTAACTGCAGGTGTTGTAAGTTCTGCCCAGAGAGCTAGTGAGGAATTGGGTTTAAGAGGTATTAAAATATTATTTAAAAGTTGTGTATACGGTTCTTATGGCGACACGATTTGAAGGCGGATTTGTATAGATCTGGTTGAAATAAGACAACAAAATAATTTTTTATATCTCGCTTAGTTTTCGAAATATCGATACATACTCAAAAATCGAAAAATAACTGACTAATTTCCCTCCTTAAATTTTAAGAATTTTTAATTTGATTGAAGTTTTATATATTGAAATAAATATATTTAAATAAATTAAATTTCAGGTAAAGACATGGTGTACATACAGACAGATGCACCTATCACATTCGGTAACAGCGGTGGACCACTTGTCAACTTAGATGGAGAAGCGATAGGCATCAACAGTATGAAAGTCGCATCGGGTATATCGTTTGCGATACCAATAGACTATGTCAAGAATTTTTTAGCAAAGAGTAAGGATTGCTAAATATAAGGGGTTTAATCTTATATTTTTAAGTTATAGTGATATTGTTGTTTCTGTTGCTGTTTTGGGCCGTCTGGTTGTCCGACCAGAACAGAAGTTCTACTGTAAAGAAGTTTTTATTAAGCTGTACTATGTATATTCCATATTCCAATTTTTACTTATGTCTTATGATGGCAGATTTTTTATGTAATGATAGAAAATCCCTAAAAGCATATAATTGATGTCACATACAAGAAATGTATCTTTTGCAAACACCTAGCTCATTTTTACACCAATTTTATTTTAATTTTACTACCATTGCCCGCGGGTCACTCGACAGACAGACAAAAATTCTAAGAACTTTCTCGGTATCTCTATCAATAATAATGTTTATATCAATAAAATTTTCCAAAAAATATCTAATGTACAGATTCGGCTTAGTTCCAATTTTATTATATGTATAGATTATGTATTTCATGTTTTCAGGCAAAACAAAGTCACCTCTAGTATCGAAGAGGTATTTGGGCATAACCATGTTGTCGTTGACCAGCAACATACTAATGGAACTAAGAATGCGGAATCCAGATGTAAATATGACATAGTTTTTGCTGTCGGTTTGTTTGCTTTGCTTAAAAGAAAATTTGTTTGTTTCATAATAGTTCTTTTTTCTTATAACTGTCACATTGACTGAATATTAAAAATAATAAGAAGTTATTTAGTTAGTACTTTCTTATATTTATGCTAATATTTGACATTTTAAATAAAACTATTTTTCGGCTTTTTTCGTGGATTTATTTAGATTTTTGGTTCCCGACGTTTAGAATATTATATGTCTCTCCCGTGACCATGATTTCTGTAAAGCATTCGAAAGGTCGGGAACCAAAAATCAAAATATATCTGAGCGTGCTGTGATTTTTCTGTGGGCTTTTTCAAGACCTACAATTTTCTAGTGCATTGTTTTGATATATCTCTAAAGGTTTAGCCAGCGTGAGTCGTGTAATCGTAGAAAAACGTTTTTTTTTGACAAAACACCGTATACGCCCAGTTATTTTGTACAATATATTTACAAATTATATACATTAAACTTCCTCATTTATCGCTCTTTCCATCAGTGAAAATCGCGCCAAAATCCATTGCGTGGTTTAGAAGAAGTAAGCGGACAAACAGACAGACGCATATATCGAGTTTTTTTCATACTATGTATATATTTTCTCTTTCAGATGCCGAAAGACATAGAGCATGGTATATTAGTATGGAAAGTTATAATAGGATCGCCAGCCTACAAGTACGTATTATTTGATCTCTGCGTACGCGTTGCGCACGCGTTTGCTACGTGAATTTAGGTATTTCCTGCGTATTATTAAAACAAATACACATTTTGAAAATGTGTATTTATAGAAAACGTATTGTTGTGTTATTGTTAAAAAACTGATGAATAATTAAAATTTTAGTAATAAGTAATAATACAGCAATAGATCAAACGAACGCAATTTTATCGTATTTGCATCGGTGTGTTCTTAAACAAATAATGCTAATATTATTTTTTATTTTAGCGGTGGACTTCAACCAGGTGACATAGTGACCACTATAAATGGAAATCCAGTGAAAACCGCAAGCGATATATACACGGCTTTAGAAAACACTAAGGGCAAATTGACGATGCAAATAGTGAGGGGAAAGACAAAAACATCGATAACTATAACGCCAGAAGTGCATTAAAAATATATAAAAATGTTAATAAAATTATAAATTGTTAATTGGGTTTTATTTTTGTAGTCTCTGTTTTTATTTAATTTTTTGTTAGGGTTCCGTACCCGAAGGGTGCCAACGGAACCCTATGACTACAACTCCGCTGTCCGTCCGTCCGAAGGCAGTATCTCATGAACCGTAATAGGCAGAAAGTTGAAATTTTCGCAGAGTATGTATTTCTATTGCTGCTATAACAACAAATAATAAAAAAAATACAAGAAACATTTATTTAACGTTCGTAATCGATTGTCGAAAAAAAAACATTTCATTTTATTATGTCAATAATAGCTATGATTCATAAGTATTATTCTATGTATTTGTAATTTCGTATGTAATGTAATTTTATTTAACTGTAATACGTAAAAATTATATAAAACTTTTCCTGTGTTGTTATCTTGGCGAATAAAGGCTTATTATTATTATTATTATGATAATCGATTATCGAAGTTAATATACTACATATGTACATAGAGTAAAAGTCATATTAATAAAAAGTACATGTACGATGGTACGGAACCCTTCGTGTGCGGCGAATTCGACTCGCACTTGACCGATTTTTATAAATTGGTGAAAGCGTATTTATAAATTTCATAGTATATGTGTTACTATGATTTATAAGCTATATTACTGTTAAGTTTCATCAAAATGTGTTCAGTAGTCTGAGATTTGCAACATAAAACAACAACACAAACAAAAACAACACAACAAAAACAACAAGCAAGGATAAAACGTATATGTACATATATGCATATGTCTCCGACAGCATAATGCTATTTTCCGTCGTTAACTTATTCCGTTATTTTTACCCGACTGCTCAAAGGAGGGTTATGTGTTTGATGTATGTATGTATGTTTACTCATACGTTCCCTCGTAATTACTAAACGGTTTTAACGAGATTTGTATCAATATAACGCCATAGTTATACGCTACATGGATATTATTAAAAATTATAATGGCGGCTTCAAGCGCCAATTTATGGCGACACGTTTGGATCATTTTGTAGTGACCCTACTTGCTGTGCCAGCGGTCGCGAGTTCGAGTCCCGCTGGGGGCATTCATTTGGTTGATGAGCACGAACGTTTGTACTCCAGTCATGGGTGTTTATATTTATAACTAGCATTGCCCGCGGCTCCGCCCGCGTTTAGATGACCAAAAACCAAATTTTTAGGTTTTACATATTAGTATACTCTTACATTACAGTTTTTGTATTCTTTCTCAGAAATGAGATATTTTTCCGCTGTAAAAAGTATCCTATATGTTGACCCGGATAATCATCTATGACCATACCAAATTTTATTAAAATCCGTCCAGTGGTTTTTCTGTGATGCGGTAACAGACAGAAAGACAGACAGACAAGAATTCTAAAAACTATAGATTCGGCCTCTGTATCGATAGTAATGTCTATTTCAAAAAAAAATCCAATAAAATATTTAATGTACAGATTTGACTCAGTTAGAATTTTATTATATGTATAGATATGTATGTATTTAGAGTTATATATGTATAGTGTATCAACTATCTGGTATCCATAACACAAGCCTCGTAGCTTACCATGGAACTAGATGGTGATGTTTGTTAATGTCCCAAGATATTTATTTATGTGTTATGGAACAATTGACTTCCAAACCAACAATATGCAAGACCCGGGATTTGACTTCACTTCCCTCGTTTTGAATCGAACCCCTTAACCATTAGGCTACTACTGTCTTTTTTGTTCATTGATACATTAAAAATTAAAGAGCGGTCAAAGCCACAGACATTCAGTTAGCTATTATAAACTACGAACATAAAACGGTCATTTTAAATTGATTAATTCGTTATGCCAATTAAATGCTATAATAAAATTACATTCAGATTTAGTTACTAAAGATGAAATATACAGTTAAAAAAATATTTTTTGTTAATCTTATCTCAGTAAGTTATATTAAGTTTTAAAATTTTGTCAAAGAAAATTAGATTCAATATATATTTTTAGTTTATTTTTCTTTTACTGTAGTTTGTACTTTTGTATGTATTCAGCCCTTTTTAAGGTCTCACTGTTGAAAACGGACCTCTCTTGAATACCGAGTGGGTTGGGGGGAGTCTGCCACGCTTGCCAAGTGCGGGTTGGCGGACTACACACTTTCGAAAACTTAATAAGTTCTCTTATGCCCGATTTCACCAACATCCCATAAGCTACCACCTACGTATGGGATCCCTAAAGGTTCCCCTGAACTAGCCCCTAAATTAAATTTCATTTTACCATCGTCAAAGCCCGTATTATTAGTACCTATATTAAGGTGGCGTTTGAGATAACCTAGTTAGTCCTCGAAAGATTCGTGAAGTCCGCCAGTCTACATTAGGCCAACGAGGTGGACTATTAGGTACCTACTTGATTTCGCTCGTATTGATTGGATGCCCACGCCCAGCAGTGAGACGTTAAAAATAGGTCTCAAATCCATCAAGAAGGATGTAATCAGTTATGCCTCATTTCAGGTTATTACACACTACGTAATAGCAGACTCCCTCAGTTATCGATCTAGTAAGATTTTAAATTTTTAACATTATAGCATAGGTACCTACCTATTAGCAGTACCCGCGGTTTCGCCCGCGTTCAAACTTCAGACCTCTACCAAACCTCACAGGATTACCCGCTGGGTTAATCTGAAGATTGCTTGAAAATTTTATCAAAATCGCTTCAGTCGTTTTGGAGACCATAGGGAACATACAAACACACTACATATATTATATATTTAGTCAAGAAACACATTATCTACGATATGAGGGCAATAACAACATGGTTTTTGCTGGAATCGAACCGGAAGACACTAACAAAGTCATATTTTTCTAACCGCTCAGCCAACGCGTTCATAATAAATATACTTCAGACTAAGGAATTTAAACGTAGTCCGCAAAATAATTGTCAAAGTGAAAAATAGTAGCGTGATTTGCTGTTTATTCTACTATTCTCGATTTTGCCATACAGATCGTTTACTTTCTTTAAAGAATAACGGAAATTTTATATAAATATGTAATACTTAAATTATTATACAATTTTTGTGAAGAAAATATAAATAATAAAAACAATACTAAGTATATTCTTTTGTATTTTTAAGTATTATAAGTTTTCTTTCCATTGAAAGAGAGATGGCATAATATTGGCTTATTTTTTTTCCTGTATTATAATAAAATCTGCTTGCTATTTTTAATTATTAACATTTATTTACTTATCTTTCAGTACACAAATTGTCATTTGAATACTATTTTAATGCATTATCTCGCTGCGCTCGAGTTCGTCCCTACTTACTTTTTAATTTTAAATATAGATTTCTCAAAAATGAGATATTTTGCCGCAATAAAAAGTATATTATATGTTAACCAGAATAACCAGCTATCATTATACCAAATTTCATCAAAATCTATCCAATAGTTTTCTCGTGATGCGTTCCCAGACAGACAGATAAAACAGACAGACAGACAAAAATCTAAATCTATAAATTCGGCCTCTGTATCGATAATAATGACTATTTCAATAAGATTTTCCAAAAAATATTTAATGTTTAGATTCGACTTAGTTACAATTTTATTATATGTATAGATTATGTGGGTATAGATTAAAAATTATTGGCTTCATGTGTAGTTCTATGACACTCCATCTATACTATTCCTTAGTCTGAGACCTATACCTAACTTCTAGTATCTTAAAAACTTTATATTCAACTAAAAATAATACAAACCGAAAGAAACATGAAATTTTAAATAAACATAAAATATTAAGTATAGTTTACTATGAGAAGTTTCCTGCATTCGAACAATATCATTTCATAGTCAAAAGAGAGAAATTCAAGATTCTTTAAAATTTCAAGTGTCCTTCTCAACAAAATAGAGTGCTTGAAAACGGAATTTGTCAAAAGAAATATTTTAGTTTTGATAGTTAATATAAAGAAGGCTACAGCGACTACGGCGTAGTAAGCTTGAGCTACGAGTAGATGTCACGGTTTCTAATCCGGCTAAGTGTGTATTGAAAGCCTTAATATAAAAATTAAAGACATTTTGTACGTATGTAGGCGCTTAAAAGTTATATTTTGGCACTATATATACTATTATAGTGTACCTACATAATGGCCATTGTGTACTTTTCATTATAATTTTTTTACAGCCGTTTGATTTAATGCAACCTTTTTTTTGATGTTGGGAAACGCATACCATCTGCACGCATACAGATAGTTATGGGGGACTCACCGGCAAAGTCAGAACTACACACTAAAACCCAACAGACGTCCCTCTCTTGATGGGGCATCGCAGGATCGCTTACGCATTCAACCACGACGCCCCGACGGCAGGTCTGCCGAAGCAGACCACAACAACCATTGGGTTCTTCCAAGTACCAGGAGCAACCCGCATAACACACCGCCCACCGAGGTGGGCCTTCGCCCAGTGCGTTTCTTGGCTTCGCGCCCGGTTGTATTGCCAGACGCTTATGAGCCCTCCCACCACAAGGTGAACGTACATTGGGGGAAATAACAATGCAACATTGCCACAACTCCATAATAAAAATCAAAAATTTATATTATTTTTTTCATATTTTATTATTAATATTTCTTAGGTATTATTGAAGATGGCAAACCAATTCTCCGAAGCGCCCTGGAGGGTAAAGAGAAAACAAGTAAGCAAATAATAAAATGTTTCCGCCCGGGATCGAACCGGGGACCTTGAGCGTGTGAAGCACACGTGATAACCGCTACACTACAGAAACTTGTATTAAATTGACAAAATTAAAAACAATAAGCGCACTATACTTATATGATTATTGGTACCTACTAGATAAGTACTAAGTGACTCCATAAGTACACAAAAAAATCTACTCAAAATCGACTAAAGAGAAAAATGACGAACCCCAGATGTTTTTTTATAAAAAATATATTTTCTAAGTGCATATCTATTAATATTATTGTTAAAAAAGGATATAATTTTTAGAAAAAAAATCATTAAAATCAAGTCACAGAGTACAAAGAAAACTTCATCTGAATTGACAAATTAATTTCTTAAGTCTAAAAAAGTAACTTGAAAAAATGATTATACAAGACAATAGTAGCTTTTTATTTACAGTTTAAACAATTAAAATTAGAAGGCTTTAATTTTCATATAATTTTGTCTTTAACTTTTAAAATTTCAATGAATTAATTTTGTTATTTTCTGGCAGCAAATGATACAACACAGTACTACGAAGCAAAAGAACTACAATGGGTAAAAGAACTTCGTACGCAAATTGAACAGCACGTTAAAAATTATGGTTACGAAAATGCTAAGCCATTTATAGAAGATCTTGTTAATGGTATTTGAAAACACATTTGTATATTACTCTATAGCTTTACGCTTTATTCTCTACTAACGACTCACCCTTACGTTTTAACGTTTAGTATAGATTTCTCAGAGATGAGATATTTTCCCGAAGTAAAAAGTATGTGGACCCGGATAACCAGCTATCATCATACCAAATTTCATCGAAATCTGTCCAGTGTCCAGACAAATATTCTAAAAACTATAGATTCCGCCTCTGTATGACTATTTCAATAAAATTGTCCAAAAAATATTTAATGTACATAATCAATCAATCACGTTTAAAATGACATGAAAATATCAGAGGAACGAGACGCGGGATTTCAATCTGCTTCACTCGGTTTCCCAAGCGAGTGCTTCACCACTGGGCTACCACATTTAAATAAAAACTTGTTTTTATAAATACTTTTTTTACCATTAATTTATTTTTTAGTTTTTATTTTATTCATATTCTTCTCAGTAAACCCTTTCATTTGATATCCATATCTTATGGGTGTATAAGAAGAATAGTCCGTCATCGTTGGGAATCCGCAATATTGGAATTAGAATGACTTCACTTATCTAACCACGCATTGTCATCCAATCTAAACGTGTATGCCAAATTTCAGCTCTAATTTTCAATAAGTTGAGGATAACAGGGCAAGTTAAATAAAAGCTTGTAAAAAATCTTTTTTCATGAGAAGAACTGGGATCTCGAGAAAAACACAGTGAACTGTTATTTACAATGACGATACTTTAATAATATATTATATAATACTAGCAGCACCCGCGGCTTCGCCCGCGTCCAAGCTTCCGATCGCTTACAAAATTTACAGGATCACCCGCTGGGCTTATCTGAAGATTACCTGAAAATTTCATCAAAATCGCTCCAGCTGTTTTGGAGTCCAAAGGAAACATACATACACACATCGATTTTTATTTTATTTATTTAACAATTTAAATTTATTTATTGCTCTATTTAGTAACACACCGACTGCAACGCCACCCACCGGATCCATTTGTGAATTCAAACCTTGCAGGGAACTCGAACATACACAAAAAATATTATTAAAATCGTCCCTGCCGTTTAGGAGATGATCAGTTGCCACCAACCGCCACCTACTTGGTCCAATTGTGTTTTCAAACCATCCAGGATCCCATTGAAATATACACACAAAATTTCATCCACATATCGGTCCAGCGCTTTAGGTTTAGTAAGTCAACAAACACACGTACAGAAGAATTGTATAGGTATATCAAGATAATATATTATTTTAATAACATACGAGTAGGTGTGGTAATTTAATTTTGACGGGATTCTCTTTCTGATCATCCAGTGATCAACATTATTTTAATTTCAGAAACCGAAAATTCACAAAATCTATTACTTTATGTAAAAGGTAAGTTAAAAATTGTTTAAAGTCTAATTCAAAGTTTGATAGCGTGAAGATTGATAAATGATAACATAAAAACAATGTTTTGACTATTCCATTTCTTTTGTTTTTCTCTAGAGATTGTTTTGAATTTGATATAGCAACTAGCGACTCACACTCGCTTCACTTCGGGTTCGTCCCTAGACAAAAATAGATCTATCTTACGGGAACCGTACATTTTTACTACGACGATATAAATCCGCGACAAAATCCGAAAAGATAGTTTTATTTAAAATGTCAAATATTCGCGTAAATCTAAGAAAGTATTACGACAATATAGCTTATTGCCTTCCTCAGTTAATGGGCTATCTAATGCAAAAAGATTTTTTCAAATCGGATTAGTAGTTCCTGAGATTAGCGCGTTCAACAAAACAAACAAACTCTTCAGCTTCATAATATTACTTGTAGTATAGATTCTAGAAATTATGTGACAGGTAGCTTTGGCTAATTTAAAAAGTAAAAAATAGCAATAGGTTATTGTATAAAAATGCTATATCATAATGAATTATTATAATTATAAATTAAAAAATTTAAAAACCCATTTATATTTATATGTGATTGTAATATGCCTAATATGGCTTAATTATTGATTTCTTTAATTGCGATATTTGCCAAAGAAGTTTTACTTAAACCGCACCAATTTTTTTATTTCATTTTCATACTTAAATTATCCATACATTAAGTCATAGATAGGGATCATTCTACGACATTAGGAACGGACGTATTCGTATATTTTTACTAACTTTTTGTGCTATGTTTCAGTGGCTCGCAATGGTAAGTATGATTTATATGCGTATTTTCATATACGTTGACAAAGTTACGTTATAGCTGGACGTGAACTAATAACTTTGGAACATATTTGTCACGATTTTCGCTTCAGGTAATATGATTAAGATTAATGTTGTACAAAATATTATGGTTAATTCATATCAATTCAAAATTATCACGTTGTTTACCTACTTTTTTACTATTTAAAACTAGCTTTCTCGGCACAAGTTTAGTATATGGGACGCACTTCTGGAGAAGTGAGTGGTATTTTTGGATAGGGGAGGTGACAGAGAGTTCAAATACATAAAAATTATTTTGAGAAAACGAAGGAGTTAAAAGTTATGGAGACTTAAAGTTAGAACATTTCCATACATTTCAATACCAGAATAAGTCATTACAAAAGATACGATAGAAAAACGTACGTTTATACGTTTAACGAATAGTAAATATCTTTTTTCGTGTAAAATCTATATTTTCATAACAATTAAGGCTTTATTGGATTTATATTTTGATAATTTCTCTAAAAACAATAATCAAAACAAATTAATCTTAAACTTTTACAAAACTGTCAATTTCTGTTCTACGAGTATATATATACCGCTTCAGGTCATAACAAATTATCGCTTAATAATTAGTTAAGAGTTATTCCTACATAATATTAAAAGTGAAAATTATTGTCATCAGATTCTAAGATTTTAAAATAGAAATTATATGTTATTTTCAATTCATGCATACGTTTACGAGTTTTTGTTTGGTTTATGTAAAATATTGAGTTATATAATTAATTTACATTTAGCAAAAAAATTTGAACCTTTATTTGATTTTATTATCTGTGAATACTTTCAGTATTTTTGGCGGGTGGTCACAAAATACCGCGAAGTTCGATAGTTTATGTGAATACGATCTGTACTCATTGAACGCGTTTATGTTTATGGGGCCTGGAACTGAAAAAAAATATCTTTACAAGCATAACAGAATAACTGGTATTTTTTTCAGGAACAAGTGAAGTAAAATATAGCCCTATATTAAGGGCAAGGAAGGGAATAAGAGGTAAGTAAGATAATTATTATATTTGTATTATTTGTATTTCTTTTACTACGAGAGGGATCAGACCAGTCCACCACGCTGGCCAAGTGCGGGTTGGCGGACTTGCTAGGTTCTCTCAGATATGTTGGTTTCCTCACGATGCTTTCCTTCACCCTAACACGAGTGGTAAGTGGTAATAAGTTTGACGACATGTTTGGCTCAGTTTATAGTGATATTTGCTGTGCCAGCGATCACGGGTTCGAGTCCCGTTGGGGATGTTCATTTGTGTGATAAGCACGAATATTTGTACTCCAGTCAGTATATTTATAATATGTATGTATTTAAAGTTATATTTATATAGTGTATAAACTATCTGGTATCCATAACACAAGCCTCGTAGCTTACCATGGAACTAGATGGTGCTGTGTGTTAATGTTCCAAAATATTACACTTATTTAATGATTCGCACATGAAAATGCGAAATGAAAATTACAATTTTTTTTATTGTTTCATTTTACTTTACTTCTACTTTACACAGTCCTTTTTAATTTCTTTACATTATTGTTTCAGAGGACTTAAGTTCTGAAAATGAAGGTATTATTATTATTTTAAAAATGGTTCTGAATCTATTTATATATTTAGGCCACAGCGGCCAATCTTACTGAGACTAACCAAATACGCATCAGTGCACTCTATTCCTGTTACTTTCAAATTCCCATGTGACAACACGTCCGGTGAGAGTTAAGGCGCAGGACCGACAGCTTTACGTGCTCTCCGAGGCACGAGGGAGAAAACCCGCCAACTTACCAACTTTGTACGTGCTGTCACTGAGACTTTTTAACAGAAAAGCTCAATAACTAAACTCGGCACTACCTGGAACTCGAACCTGGGACCTCTGGATCTGCGGCCATACAGCTCACCAAGAAATTCATCCCATAAGGTGGTAATATAGAGGATGAAAGTTTGTAGAAAACCTGTCTTTTTAGAGTTTTTTTATAGTTTTAACGCGAACGTAGCCGCGGGCTCTGCTAGTGTAAATTATAATTTAATAATATAATATAACTTTATTTCTAAGTATAGTTTAATGAATTATTGAATTGATATTATTAATATTTATAAATATTTTCATTATTGCAGTCTGATTGTTGTTATTATTATTAATTTTAACTTGAACTATTCAATAGCTTCATTTTATTTTTCCACTGTTGTTAACTTTTTGTTTTTTTCATTGTCACTGCTGTAATTTATGAAATATTTCTAAGTGGAAATTTTACTGGTTTGTGTTTTATATATAATTGCATATATCTGCACTGTATGTTTCCTAAATATATTAAAAATAAAATAAATAATACCATTTTGTGTACAGAACCACAGTGGTTGACTGCATTGAAAAGGTTTATAAAATTGCTTGTTGAAACCTACAGTCGACAGAAAGCTCGAGAAATTATGCAATACTTCATTAATGGTACATAAACTTTTATTTTATCTTCTAATCGATGTTAAAGATTAGAATAGATACCATATACGAGTATAATATTATGTATATTACGAACTTGTTGTAAAATACATGGATAGAAAATCGAACTAGCGATCTTCGTGAGAGATTTATAAGATAGCATAACAGAACAAAACAACAGCACCTAAACCTATATGCACGTCCATGTATTCTTTAAAGTTTAAAACATTATTTTTGAACCAGTGTTTTTTTTCTAAATCTGTAGGAAGCTACATATAATAAAATTGTAACTAAGCCTAATCTGTACATTAAATACTTTTTTGTAAAATCTTATTGAGATAGACATTATTATCGATACAGAGGCCGAATCTATAGTTTTTAGATTTTTTGTCTGTCTATTACCGCGTCACAGAAAAACCTGGAGGGATTTTGATGAAATTTGGTATTGTGATAGCTGGTTATCCGGGTCAACATAAAGGATACTTTTTACCGCGGGAAAATATCTTATTTTTGAGAAAAAATACAAAAACTGCAATATAAGAGTATACTAATATGTAAAACTTAAGAATTTGGTTTTTGGTCATCTGAACGCGGACGGAGCCGCGGGCAATGCTAGTGTGATATATAGATATATTTATAAATAATAACAAAAACGAAAGGCAATAATTTAGTTTGATCCCATCTCTGATGATCACTTATTACATAAAATTAATTTGCATGTCTGAGAGAACCTGACTAGTTTTTGAAAGATATAACATGAAGTCCGAAAACAAACACTTGACCAGTGTGGTGGGGAACTAATCCCACTCGCATTGAGTGAAGGTCCATGCCCAGCAGTGGGACGCTTAAAACAGGACGGCAACACAAGCGTACTAGAACGATTAAAATGAATCTTAGCTACGAGATTTAAAAAGAAAAGGGAATCGTTTCATAGTTATTCTTCTATTTTTTTAATTAAGATATTTTTTCTTTCAGCTGTAGAAAAGCAGAACCATGTACAGATAAATGATATTGATAGTAAGCTATTTTTATATGTATATTTTTGATTAGCTATTGCCCGGGCACACATATACACACACAAACACACACACACACTCACGCACACGCGCGCACAACTATATAGCCTTCATTCTATAACCTTTCTTAATAAGAAGGCTATAAAATCCACATAGAATTTTAGAAGTCTGCGGTAATTTGTGAAATTACCTACAGTTCAGTTTGTTAAATACGTACAATGAACATACAGTACTGAACAAAATATTAGTAAATCAATTAGGATATAATCGAAGCAGCTTTGCTAACAAATTTGCGAAATAGAACCTCAGACTTGCCCTTAATGACGTTAGAAGGAAAATAATTTTATTTTTATATTGTTTCAGTGGACCCATATGGTACGTTAACAATGTTTTGGTATGATATTATAATTTTATTGTAATCTAATACAAAAACTTAAAAAATAGATTAAATTTATTACAATAAGGCACCTCACACCATGAAAAAATCAGTTCCTGTGGCTTCACTCCCATCGCAGATATGTACATCTATCAAAACGTCAACATGCTAATCAAATACATACATAAACAGACACATACACATACACGCGTACACACACGCACTCACGCACACACGCGCAGACTCACTAACGCACACACACTAACACTTTCACATACATAAAACTAATAATTATATGAGTATGTTTAGTATTTACCATTTTCTCGCCCTTGCTTAGTTTCAGCGTTCACGAAATATTTATCCCTTATCCTCTATTAGCCGTGAGTAAAAATTAGCTTAATTCATATTTTTTACCGTCTTCCCAAAAAAGGAGGAGGTTCTCAATTCATCGGAAGCTTTTTTTTTATTTTATTTGTATGTTCACCGATTACTCGAAGCCGACAATATTTTAAGATATGAATATCTAATAGGTAAATATGTATTTTACGTATCGAAATATATTAGATTTGCTTTGCATCGGCTGGCACCGACTTCAAAAATATCTGATTAGGTATCTATTCTAAATAAAAACCTCCGTTTAGTTATTTTTTCTATTTTAGTGCCTGGAAGTCGGTTTTTTTTTTAGTTTTTTATCGCTAGTTATTATTTAAACGTGGACGATGCCGATGCGTCTCGCTAGTTTATTTTATCAAAAATATACAAAAAAAACTTTTTGTATTCACAGGAAACGTCATTGTTTCATACGTCGATGATCATAAAAAATGGAAAAAAAAGAAAGGTAATTCCATAATAACGTGTAAAGTACTGTAAATGCTTATATACCTTTTAACGATCGGCGTAGTTTTCTAACTGAACTGGCTAATATGCTAATGATTCCGGCCACGGCGGCCAATCTCATTGAGACTAGCCAACTGCGCAGGAGATATTATAGTGCACAAGTGTACGCGCAGACACATCGTGCACTCTGGTCTTCTGTTCTTCACACTCTGTGATGACAATACAATAATTATTAGAAAAACAATAATTTAATAAATTAAAAGAAAATACACGTTTATAGCAGATCAAATTAAAAATGGAAAATAAATTATAGTTAAAAAACCTAAAAAAACACGCTTAAGTCCAACATGACACGTGCTCTGTCTTATTAGAGTTATGTAACAAAGTAAATCTCCCAACTCCGGGCTTTTTAACTGTGATTGTTGGATGCAAGTGGCCACACGATTGTATTTGGTTTAGAGCGAAGCGGCTGCAAGGAAAGGGTTATGTTTTTCGCGCCTATCCTTGTATGTTTGTTTATTTGTAATATTCTTTTATTCCCTCATATCTTCCAAACCACTCGATGGATCTCTTTAATTAAGGTTTCGTTAGATTCGTCTCATTAGTCCAAGTGTTCTTAGGTAGATGACATAAAAATAAATAAATATGGGGGCTGCTTGATTCCATAATGTGAAAAAGAAAAAACATGAAAATCGACGAACTATGTCAAGTGGGGTATCGTTGAATAGGTATTTAAAACTCATTTTTAGGTTTCTTTCACCATTGTTCATATCAAATAACAGTAGGATATATAATGATTTAAAGTTGGTTAACAACCATTCTCGCTAATTTTCCTACTTAACAATACTTAAAAAGCTGTAAATAAATATATACTAAAAAGTTTCATCCTTGCTGCGTACACTCGTATGTACGTCTTCGACTACATAATACTATAAACTCGTGAACTTGTTTTCATCTTTTTAGTTAGCTTTTATGCAGTCGGGTTTTTTATTTTTATAAAATATTTATATTATGTTGTATTTTTTTAAGGTTTACGGATGGAGACTCCTGCTGATAGGTTATTATTGTTTTAATTCAAAACGTACACAAATAAATGTCAAAATAGTATAAAAAGTATAGATATAACTATGTCATATTTCTTTTAAATGAATGAAGAAATACCAGATTAACAATTACTTACTGGATAAATATCATGTATGTATGAATAATATATGTATATATATCATTTTAAAAATATATTTACTTACATATTATATGCAAAATTTTTTATTTAACCTTCCATTTTGATAATGACAGTGGTTTAGTGTGGTGTGTTTTTCTAACTAGGGACACTTGCTGAGAATTTCTTAACAAAAAAAAACTAAAAAAAAAACCGACTTCAAACAAAAACACTAAAAAGTAAAAAATAACTGATTGGTAGTTTTCATTTACTATACATACCTAATCAAATATTTTCGAAGTCGGTGTGCTTTGCTTTGTATCGGCTGGCACCTATACATGTAATAAAATCTTTTTTGGAATATTTGGAATCTTTTTTGGAATATTTTTTGGAAAATCTTATTGAAATAGTCATTATTATCGATACAGAGGCCTAATCTATAGTTTTTAAATTTTTGGTCTGTCTGTTTGTCTGCCTTCATGTCTGTTTGTCTGAGAACGCATCACGATAAAAAATAGCTGGTCATCCGGGTCAACATATAGGATATTTTTTACTGCGGAAAAATATCTTATTACTGAGAAATCTGCACTACCCTTTAAATCCTAACAAAGCCGAGCGAAGCGTGGCTGAGTCGCTAAGTGTATTATAATTTATAAGTTATTTCAAAGTAGGGTACACGAGTTCATAAATATAATATATAATAAAGAATGAATGAATGACTGTATGAATAAACGAAGGCATAAATAATTAAATAAAATTAATTCATTTGTGTATTTTCTGCGGAAATTGATCATAGGGTTAATAATTTATGTCAAGATAATATTTTCATTGTTTGACCAATCTTAAACGTCTATTAAACTATATATATATAAATAAAATTGTTCTGGCGTATACGAGAAGATACACCTCTCCTCTCGACTGCCGTTGTTTTCAACCGACTTCCTCAAAAAGGAGGAGGTTCTCAATTCGGCTGTATTTCTTTTTTTATGTTTGTTTCCTCAGAACTCCGTCATTTATTAACCGATTTGGACAATTTTTGCTTTGTTTGAAAGTGTATAGTTCCAGATTGGTCCCATTTAAATTTCAAAAAAAAAAGCCCCAAAGAGTGAAATCATAGCTAATGATGAATGATTATATATACATAAGTATATGTTGTATCATCATCATCATCATCAATCATTTCCACCATGATTACCACTTGTCTTAACGGTGAAGGAAAACATCGTGAGGAAACCTGCATGTCTCAGAGAACCTAGCAAGTTTTCAATAGACATGTGATAGACTGAATACATACATATGTTGTATGCCTGACTTATTTCTTGCTAGCTATATTACTCAATATTTTTCAACCTTTTTTTTTAACGTTGGGAAATGCATTTATGCACGAGGTGTGGGACTCACCGGCGTAATAAAGCCAGTACTACCCACTAAAACCCAACAAAACCTTCCTCCGTCTTAATGGGGCGTCGCAGGATCGCTTACGCATTCAACTACGACGCCCCGACGGCAGGTCTGCCGAAGCAGACCACCACAACCATGGGGTTGCTCCAAGGTCCACTCTGCTATCAGAGAAGTACCAGGCGCAACCCACATGGTACACCGCCCACCGAAGAGGGCCACCTCCCACCGCCCACTGAAGTGGGCCACCTCCCTGTGCGTTTCTTGGCTTAGCGCCCGGTTGGGTTGCCGGGCACTACTGAGCCCCCCCACCACGAAAAGGTGAACGCACGTTGGGGGGGATATTTTTCAACCTTACATCTTATACTGCAATCTGTTTATATAGAATACCTACATAACACTATATTTTATATTGTTTTAGATAACACTATATTGCGAATTAAACCGCTCACTCACCGTGAAATTGCCTCAAATATTTATTAGAAGGCTTTCTAAATAATAAATCTACGGTACGTTGAAAATAACTATGCTGATAAACACTTTATTTAATCACTTATATCCCATATATACACGATCATTTTTAATTTACTGAAAACCTTTTGGGAATACACTATTTACGACATAACAACAACATCTGTAAGAAAAAAAACATATCCCATGTAACTCATGCGCGATATCATAGGTTAAGTATAATAATATGTTATTATTTTTATGGATGTGCATAAAATCATTTGAGCACAATCGCTACAAACGGACAAAAATATATAATAAACTAGCGCCTCACCCTCGCTTCGGTCGGGTTCGACTCTAGAAAAACAAAAACAGAACAAACCTCGGGAACCGTATATTTTTTCGTGATAAGAAGTAGCCTGTGTGTTATTCCAAACTATAATCTATCTCTGTGCCAAATTTCATCCAGATACGTTCAGCCTTTCTGGTGTGAAATAATAGCAAACATCCACACTCACAAACTTTCACATTTATAATATGAGTATGTATAGATAGTTGCTTATATGTGTTTTAATCTAAAACATGTCTATACAAAAGTTTCTTGTATAACTTTTAGTTGAGTATAACGAATGTGAGCTAGGTAAGGTTCTTGAAATTTCATCCCCGAAAGGGTAATAGGGGTTGAAAGTTATAATGTAAGTTCATCATTTTTAAAGCTTCTATTTATATTAGCGATGAGAAATTTTAGCGGACTCGCTGCTTTTTATATGATATCATTATATTCTCTAATTAGAACGTGGAGATTAAGCTAATTAAAACTTTTAAATTACTGATCGATTTATTTAAAACTAAAATTTAGCTTTTGAATTTAGATTATCTCTGCGATAGAAGAAAATTTCAGTCAAACACTTTATCTACCAACCAAAAATCGTTTAAATATAGCATAAATATTTTTATCAAAGCAAACTATTGCGAATTTGTAGTTTTTGTCGTAAATTTTTGTCGTGTTACTTCAGGTCATAGACTATTTGCCTTTTGAATTTCATCCCAATTCGTCCAGCAGTTTTAGCGTGAAGGAAAAACAGCATATACAAGTCTGTCTGTCTGTATCTTCCAACTAATTTCCGAAGCGACTGAACCGATTTTGACGGAACTTTCACAGGCAGATAGCTGATGTTATAAGGAGTAATTTAGGTTACTTTTATTTGAGAAAAAGAATTATGGTTCAACGCAAATAAATTAAAATCCATAAAATTGCAATACAAGTGTTTGTCGCTAGTACATAAATACAAAATTTCAGATTTTTAACAGCAGTAGTAGTATTAGTCCCATATAACTTACGTACACATACGGAATAATATTACTAAACTTTTCACCCGTAGATAATAATAGAATAGACCGGGGTCGATAATTGTTTTACCAAAAAAAAAATTTTTTTTTTCACTTTTTACCATTTTCTAAGGCTTCAGCCCTGGTATTGTCTAGGACGATGTGTGTTGTATGGGGATTCCCAACGCGACCCTTTCTTCTTAAACGGACCGGAAAAACATCTAACCTTTGCTATTAGGGTAATCGTACTAGATACTTCATGTTATTTGACTGAAATATAAGATTCATTGAGTTATGGAGTGCGTGATATGCTTGAAAGCCAATAAGATCACGTCAGAAAAGTAAATTCATTTGAGCACTTTGGAATCGTCAATCTATACTAATGTTATAAATAGGTAGAGTTTGTTTGTTTGAACGCGCTAATCTCAGGAACGACTAATCCGATTTGAAACATTCATTTTGCATTAAATAGCCCGTTTATTGAGGAAGACTATGGGCTATATATTATCATGCTATTACAAAAGGCATCGGAGCAGTAATATAATAATACATAGTCTATCTATTCCACACTAACCGTTAAAACGTACCTAGGGACGAACCCGGGAAAAGCGAGGGTGAGCCGCTAGTTTAATTTAAAGAGCTTCAGTGCTCTTTTAAAATCGAGTTATTTCATTTATTTTATTAACATAACATATGAGTCAGTAAATCTCACACACACACACATTTCTATCAACAAGAAACTATAGAACAGAGTAATATAGTTATTAAATATTTTAAATTTTATCTTTAAATTGTGAGGTAAGTCTATGACAGTTTGTGTAATTTTATTATACATTATTATATATTATATGCGTATACTCAAGCTGGTATTTAAAAATGTCTGCCAATTTAAATCAAGCGGTATTCATTGTAATATTCGCCACTTCAGCTGCAATGAACAAAAGTCTAATATCGAAGTTTTAATATTAAATAGGACGTTGAATTTTTGATTCATTGTTAGTATATGGAAGCGTCCCCCGGTATGTTCTTTTTTGAGCAGTATCCTAATTCTTTTTTCGAATTAAAGTAGCCTAAGTTACTCCTTATAAGGATATTATAATATCACCTATCTGCCAGTGAGTCTCGTCAAAATTAGTTCAGCCGTTTCGGAGATTAGCCGGAACAAATAGACAGACAGATAGAAAAAAATGTGTTTTTCTTATAATTGCTGTTATATAATATGCTTTTGTAAAAAGCTGTTAGTTTGACACAATGTTTGTTCGTGAGATTTTATTCTTTCCACTTACTTACCCCATCGATTGATTCGATAAAATAATGAAGTGTCCATTTTTGCATTTTTATCTGGTTCGATTCCCGGTTCAGATGGGATTTTTTTAAATAAATAAATGCATTTATTACCATTTTTTAAATAAAGGACTAAGTGTATATATGTTTGTATATATAATTAAGTATATTTGGAATAAAGGAATGTTTCCTGTGATTAAATCTTGATAGCTTCAATATTTAGGATACTTTTCGTCCCTGTCCCATCTATTTGTTCCACCCTGTATATGAGTTGTCCACTCGGTTTTTTCCTCGTACGCTGCAAAAGATTAACCTTAAACCCCTTCTGTCCACCGTCGTGTTACTTTGTCTTGGAATAATAATAATAATAATAATGTTGGGACATTAAGACACAGCGCCATCTAGTTCCATGGTAAGCTACGAGACTTGTGTTATGGATACCAGATAGTT